TCTGCCTGCATGTGTCCCTGAAGGCCAGAAGAGGGCACCAGATCTCATTACAAGTGGTTGTGAGCCACCATGTGGTTTGCTGGGAATTGAATTCAGGACCTCTGGAAGAGCAGTCAGTGTTTTTAACCACTGAGCCATCTCTCCAGGCGCCAATTTTTTTTTTTTTTTTTCCGAGACAGGGTTTCTCTGTGTAGCTTTGCACCTTTTCTGGAACTCACTTTGTAGACCAGGCTGGCCTCGAACTCACAGAGATCCACCTGCCTCTGCCTCCTGAGTGCTGGTATTAAAGGCGTGCACCACCACCGCCCCATATTTCTAATCCATCTATTGGTGTTAATCTTGCCTTTAAAAACATAATCACCCAGGCTGGAGAGATGGCTCAGAGGTTAAGAGCACTGGCTGTTCTTCCAGAGGTCATGAGTTCAATTCCCAGCAACCACATGGTGGCTCACAACCATCCATAGAGAGATCTGGTGCCCTCTTCTGACCTGCAGGTGTATATGCAGACAGAACACTGTATACATAATAAATAAATAAATCTTAAAAAAAAAAAAAAAAAAAAAAAAACATAATCACCCTTTTAAAATCTGAATTATCATCTTTAAAAGCCAAAGATTCAATTGACAGTCACCTGACTTCTGGATCAGATACTGTTTTATTTATAGTTGAAATCAATCTTTGTTAAAAATCAGTGAAGGTTGCCGGGCGGTGGTGGCGCACGCCTTTAATCCCAGCACTCGGGAGGCAGAGCCAGGCGGATCTCTGTGAGTTCGAGGCCAGCCTGGGCTACCAAGTGAGTTCCAGGAGAGGCGCAAAGCTACACAGAGAAACCCTGTCTCGAAAAACCAAAAAAAAAAAAAAATCAGTGAAGGCTTCTTTTGGGTTTTGTATAATTTTAATAAATGAATCAGACTTCTTTTCTGATTCTTCAACCTTGTCCTAAGCATTTAAAGCTGCTGTATGGCATAGGACCAAGGTGTGATCATCAAATCTAAACTATCTTTGCAACTCAGCATATGGGCCTTCATTTAGAAACTGATCTTGGGAAATATTAATACCTCTAACCCTATTCATTGTTCTATGACCCAAGCTTCCTCTCTACACCATGCTTACCATTATAACTGAGGACCAGCTTCCAATATTGTTGTAACTAAATCTTTCTAGTCTTAGGGGATAATTCTGTTTTGGGTTGCCCATGAATTTAACATCTGCTTCACATAGGGTGAATACATACTGTATGAAACAACTGCTTCCTTAAATCTCCTCAAATATAACATTTTTATAGGATTCTAGTTAATTTCTGCATAACCTTGGAACGTGCCTGTCATCTGATGGTCATTCTTGTATGGTAACTGGATAAACTAAGGTTGGTTTTCTAATAACCTTGGGCTGCCCCTCTTTAGTTTCATCATGCAGTGGTACAGTAGGGTCTGTCTAAATTCCTCTGTCTGTGACTGAGTTTTTTTTTTTTTTTATTAGTAGGTCTGTTTAAAGCTTGTATCTTATCAGCTGTAAGTCTTTTTAAAGTTTGTATCTTATCAGTCAAATTTTCATATTTGGCACAGTCGTCAAACCATTTTTTAAAGGATAAAATATGAATTACCAAACTGATAATAATTATGATCGACATTATGTCAATCCCTGCTAAGTTGGTTATCCCTTTGTTTAATTTTTTTTTTGATTTTTCAAAACATCCACTGTAGAACCATACAGCGATCTAAATTTCTATAACGTAATATTGCTCTCCATTCTTAGCATGAAAAAGATCAGGTGTCTCAGCAGATCTGCTGATGGTGACAGTGTAGATGGTGCTGTGTGGGGGTATCCAGCTGTAGGGAGGGCGGGGCTGGTGGGGTGCCCAGAGATGATATTTGGCTGTGTGGGCAGGGAGGGCGAGTGCAACAGAATGCCCAGAGCCAAGCTAACTGCATGCCGGGGGTGGGGGAGGGGGCACTGTACTACTCATGCACCATGTGGGGAGGGGGAGTGAGCCACCTGAAAATGGAATCTGGGGAAACAGGTAGGAAAAGCCTGCAGCTGGGACACAGCATTAGAGGGGACAGAGCCTGCTGTGAGCACAGAAGCTGCCCAGGGAGTGCAAACCCTGCTGACTGTCATTGTGCCTGGGCAGAGAGTGTAGGCAATGCATGGTTGAGGTAGGGTCTGGGAAGATGGGGGAGAACTGTGGCAGTGATGGCTCCTCAACTGCCTTGGTGTGATCTAAGACCACAATTGGATGCCAGATACTATGGGTTCTTTTATTGTCTTACTAATAAATAAAGCTTCGGGATCAGATATTAGGGTATTAACCTGATAGATCCACAGAAGGATGGAGAAAAAGACCAACTGTCTTTCCACCTTAGATTGAAAGAGCCTGCAAATCTTCCCAAGCCCCTCCTTATGCCTCTCTGAATCTCTCTATCTTCATCTGAGTCCACCAGAAAACTCTATGGTTCATTCAGTCCACCCTCTGACTCAAGGTCCAACTCCATTGTCTGTCTCAGAGCAACAATACAAACAAGTCTCCAACAGATGTGACCTGTTCCATATTTCCTAGGGCTGATCTTATGTCCCACTCCTTTCTTCCAAAGAAGTGCCCAGTGCCTCCCACAACAAGTTGTCCTGATTGGACGGCAGAGCAGTAGACACCTACCTCGCATACCACCTCACTTCCCTAAGTGAGTGCCAAAACACGTTCCTAACTTAACTTCCTTGTGCCAAAAAACGTGTTCTCCAACTTCAGCTAGTTGGACTAGATTGGGTGGGGACAGAGGGCTCATGGGATTAGACATTACTCTTGAATGAAACACATTCCAGCCAGGTAAACAGGGTGTGGTAGAGGCGGACCCAGCCCAGCCTCTTTCTGAAGAGCTGTATGCTTAGGTCTGTTGTAAAAGCTTGCTGTCTGCCCATCCAGGCCCTGACATTCCTATGCAGCTGAGGCCTCTAGACTGGCCCAGCACCTCTCTTCCTAGAACTTTCTCTGCTCACATGTCCTCTCTGAGTCCTGCTTGCAGCTTGTGGGTGATTCACATTCTGGCCACCCCTCCTTTGGGAGGAAGGAATAAAGAAGAGGGCTAGGAGGAGCTTCCACCAGGACTGGGGGCACCCTCGCCGAGCTCTACTTCTACCTCCTATGAATTAGGCCTTTTCGGTCACCAGCTTACTGTTTAGGGCAAGAGGAAGCCTTGAATCTAGAAGTCTGGGTCTCTGGAATATCTGAAAAGAAGTTAGTATCAGAGAAATTATCTCCAAGCTACTGTCTTTGTACTTGCTCTAGTGAATAGAAAAATAACATATTTATTGTAAAAAAAAAAAAAGTTTAGAAAATTCTGAGAGCACTCTAAAATTATCCACATTACCTTTCTACAAACATCACATTTGGTTCTTTCTGAGTCTTTTTGGTATGCCTATAAAAATGTATTTTTAAAAAGATCTGAATGAGCAAAGCTACACAGAGAAACCCTGTCTCGAAAAACCAAAAAAAAAAAAAAAGATCTGAATGAATATATATAAAAATTGGCATTTTTTTGAGACCGGGTTTCTCTGTGTAGTCCTGGCTGTCCTGGAACTCACTCTGTAGACCAGGCTGGCCTAGAACTCAGAGATCCCCCTGCCTCTGCCTCCCAAGTGCTGGGATTAAAGGTGTGCACCACCACCACCCTGTGGGACCAATTTTTTTAATATTGTTTTTGTTTCAATTATTTGAGGCAGAGTTTTATTGTGTAGCTCAGGTTGGGCTCAAACTTGTGAACCTCCAGCCTAAGCCCCGTTTGCTGGAATATAGGCATGTACACCTGGTTTTTGTCCTTGACAGTTCTTATGCCCCGCCTTTTGACTGCTCTTGGACACTTCCCTGTTTCCTCAGCTATTCTTGAATAATCTTGGTGGTTCTAGAACAATCCAGTCAATGATAAACTAGGCTGAGGAGCCAGGGGCGAGCCAGGGTTTATTTTGAGAACAAAGGGAGGCATGAGGATGGCTGCATGAGTGTAAGCCTATTACTTAAGAAGCTGGAGCAGGAATCTGAGGGAGGCTTGGGCTACACAGGAGACTATTTCAAAAAAACCAAAAGAAACAGAGATTGATATGAGAGGATGCTGCTGCATCATTTCCTTCCTCCTTCCCCCTCAACCTCACCTTTCTCCCCCCAACACAGTGTGTGTGTGTGTGTGTGTGTGTGTGTGTGTGTGTGTACACATACGTATGTGGAGGTCAGAGAACCCTGGGTATTATTTCCCAGGTACCAGTGCCATCTGCCCTCCCCCCTTTTTAGACAGAATTTCTCACTGGTTTTGATCTTTGGATCTCACCAAGTAGCCTAGACTGACTGGCCAGTGAGCCCTGCCTATCCCTGCCTTCCCAGCGCTGGCAATACAAGCATACACCACCACGTTCACCTTTTCTTATGTGGGTTCTGGGGATCAAACTAAGGTCCTAATGCTTGCAAGGTACCAACTGAGCTATTTTGTCAGCCTCGCTTCCACCCTTCAGGGCTCTCAGGGACATCTCTAGGAAGTTGTCTGTGAGGCCCCAGCTCAGGCTCCATCCAGTCCATAGTACCCCCACAGCATCCCATCACAGCACTAACTATACTTTATTAAACAGGTTTCTTTGGGCTGGTGAGATGGCTCAGATAATAAGGGGAATTGCTGCCAAACCTGGTGACCTAAGTTTGATTCCCCAGAACACCTCGGCGGAAGGGGTGAAAGGAGCCTTTTCTGTCCCTGCATGTTAAGCTTCATATCCTTTGCCCCTGTATCTATCACCCATCAGCATCCCTCTTTTAAGGCTCCTATAGTCAGTCTGGGGTCTCAAGGACCCTCAGAGGTCTCTCACCCATGGCTTTTTTTTTTTCTTCTACAGCATCTTCCTATCTCTCCATACTTGTTTCCTATGGGTAACAATTCCCTGGGAACAGCCTGGTTACTTGGGCATCTGGTTTAATTAAAGAAAGAGTGGGTTAGAACAAGTCACACAGGACCACAGCCAACCAGGAGTAACCATTATGACAGTTTTATTCAAGTCTCTGAGAGCCCTGGTGTTGGGACCAGGCCGAGCTCAGCATTACACTGTAATACAGTGGGAGGCTTGGCGGCGGAACCAAGCCCTGCTTGGCGTCCCTCGTCACCAATGTACAGTACCTCGAAAGAAATGAAAAGAAAAAGCCAAAGGAAAGAACCTGAAAATAAACTTCCTTCAGGACACTTCCACCTTTAAATATTTCTGACAACACACAATAATTTAGATTCCAAAGGAAATGAGGGCTCAATTCGGGGGACACACGGAGAAGAGGGAGACACTGGCACAGGAAACTTGTAGTTAGATACTGGAGGACAAAACAAAGAGAACGTTCACTGTACTTCCTAGACTCACGGGCCCTAAGGGGAGAAAGCCCCAAGAAAGCTTTTGCAGAAAACCAGAGCCCAACCAATGCCTCTCCTGCAACCTTGAAGAGAGTCCCAGACTGCCGTCTGTAGAGCTGTGGCTGGGGACAAATGAGAATAGAGGGTCAGGGGAAGCAGAACATTAGCGTTCACCACCTCCCTGCTCTGCTGCAGCTGGGTACCAAGGCTCAAGGAGACAAAGAGGCAGCAGCGCCATCTCCCTAGAAGAGGGGAGCTGGAGAAGGCTTCCAAACTCAAAGAACTGAGAACACAGGAAAGTGGAGCTACAATGAGGAACACCAGGGAAGCTAGAGCTGGAAACAGGAAAGAGAAACAGAGCCTTAGGTGGTCCTGGGAGTGAGGGGAGCAACAGACATCCCAGTGAGCTCAGAATCCCTGCAGACTGGAGAGAAAGGTGAAGGACAAAGAGCCGCCATCAGCAAAAATGAAGTTTGCTGAGCTCTGGGGGGAATCACAGGTCAGCCAGGGCACACACCACCTTAGGAAAAGGGTGATTTCAGAACCCACCTGGCCCCAGGCTGGCCTAACTTCACCTCAAGGCTTTTCAACAGTGGTCTAGAAATGTGCTCCCAGGCTAGCGTCATGTCTTAAACAGATCAGCAACTTGCTTCCCAGCTGTGACGCCAGGCAAGCAGCATGAACACTCCATGTCTGTTCACACATCCTTGGATGCAGGCAATACCCACCAACTCTGTAAGACGTCAAAAAATGTCTGCACATTTGTCCAGACAGAGCCTCCTACGTGGATGATTTACTGGTTTCTTAAGATTTATCATTCAACTCCATACCTGGGCCAGGATAAACCCATGTCTCATTCTGACAGTAATGAAGAAAATAAAAGTTATGTGCCTGTCATCTTGGCAATTGGGAAGTGGAGGCAGGGGGATCAGAAGTACAAGGTCATCCTGGGCTATACAGCAAGTTTGAAGCCTGTCTGGGCTACATGAGACCCTGCCCAAAGTAATACTACTACTACTACTAATAAAAAAATAAAAGCCATAGCAGACATGGCCTTCAAACCAGAGGTAGAATAAATGATTGAGTGAAATGACGATGGAGGGTAATAATGGCAGGAACCTGACACAGGTGGGGGGTGTGAAGGGATTATTTAGAAGGCTTGCTGGGTAGGGGTAGAGACGGCAAAGCTTAACGTATGTGTGTGTGTGGGAGGGGGGGAGGGCGGCAATGACAGAAATCCTCCATTCACTCACTTCTGAGATCTTGGATGAATGACGTCTCTTCACTTCTAGAATTCCCAGAGAAGTTGGAGAAAAGAATGTACAGGCTTCTCTCTACATGATCACTTCCCTTCTCCTGGAATACATAAACCCCTGGAAAGTGGCTTCCAAGAGCTTGAAAGGCAGCCCGAGAACATGGAGGAACACGAAAGAAGGAAAAGTCACCCCAGCTACAGGGCCAATGTTAAGAACTGGGTGCTTCACCACTGAATTTGAATGCAAGTGCTCCCGGGAGTGACGAGCGGCACTTAGGACGTGCTGTGTGGGGTGGAACGAGAATAAGACACCAAACCTATGCTAAATGTCACAGCCCCATCTGGAGATCCAGGAGACAGGCAGGCAGGGCCTAGACCAGGTTGAGATGAGTGAGGCACTTGTGTCGGATACAAATTTCAAAGGGATGTTAAAAAATAATAAAATAAAATGTAAAACGTCAGCAATCAAAGGCTAAACCATACTTCAATGTCACTTTCTAAAATGCCCAAATTAGTAAAACCATCTATGACATGATCAGCCCTTAGCCTTAAGGCCGTCTTGTGCAGGTAGCAAGGTGGGAAGGACTTCAGGAAGGAGAACAACATAGGACTTTTGAAAGATGGTCTTGAGTGACTGCAAAGCACACCATATCACTTCTGTGGGGTCTTCACATGTCAGCGCTTCCCTTACAGCCATTCTGACCTCTGAGCTTCCACCCGTCCTGTCCTAGTAAGAAAGGCTGGTCTTTGAACACTAGATTTGTGTTTGAATTTCCCACCCAGAGACACCACCTAGCTGTCATGTTCACACCTGACAATCAAAGGGCATGACAATTAGAAGGGAAGTCAGGGGCAAGGAAACCAGAGCAGCACGGAGCGCCCACTCAGACAACTCCCCTCAATCACCAGGATCTTCTCTTTCCAACACAAGACTCAAGGGGATGCAGGGACCAAAGCGCAAGAAACCAAGAAGGAGCAGTCAGCCCCAGGGCAGAGCTCAAGAGAACCCAGTATCCTGAAAAGCAAGTCAAGGGTTTCCCCAGCAGCTCAGGGAGGCCAGGATGCCTCTAGGGTCCACGACCAGAGACGGACAGAAGGGGCAGTGAATGGGAATACCTAGACACAGTTCGTGAAAAAGTAAAAGAAACTCACCCGGTCTGCAGAGCCAACCAGGAACCCGGGTCTGGGTCACACTAGTTAGAACCATGTTAATTAGCCTTCATCAAACAAGATTCCTGCTGCTGGTTCCCACCCTTCAGCTCAGGACCAGAGGTGGCAAGCCTCCAAGCAGCAATGCCAGGAAGAGTCCAAGGAGAAGGGCTTTTCTCCTCTTATGTGTGGACTTCATTACAATTTGTGAACTAGGAAAACAATGTTTTGCCATCTGGAAATGTGTTCCCAACAACAACTGTATCTTGACAAGAAGTGGTTCTCAGGTCAAGCCAAGGACAGTGACAAGTGACACATGATTGAGTCATAGGAAATGGCCAGTACTGGCCTTTGACCTCCAATCAGACAGACATTCATACTTTTCTCCACCAAGGGAAGCAATCTTGCCTGGTGGCGCTATCTGCGCTGGACGTGGGGCTCTGGCACCACACACTGGAGAGACAGGGTCTTGCTGTGTTGCCCCAGATTGACATCACATCTGGAGCTGAAGGAACTGTCCTGCCCCGGTCTGGGTTTCCAAGAATGCATCACTGAACCTAGCTAAGATGGTAGGTTTTACAGTTAGAAGAGTTTTAAATAGGAGAGTGGGCATCACCCTCAGCTCGCAGAAGGGCTTCTGGGGGCCGGATACTGGCAAATTTACAACTTGAAAATGGACCGCTTAAGTCTCCAGGTTCTTGCCACCCACAAGTCCCTGAGGGCCGCTCTTACCTCTGCCCCTGAATCCAGTCTGGACAGTCTTTCCTTAGAGAAAGTCCAGGACTTCACCAGCAAGTACGACCTGCCTCTCCTCCCAGGCCTTCTAGAGGCAACAAGATGTGTGCTTCTAAACTGTCGGACTGTGCCGTTCTTCACACACCAACACAAAGGCACATACATGATCAAATACATACCTGATCGAAAGGTCAGGGTTCGGCATCCATGGTGGGGCACCACTGGACAGATGGACACTTAGGCCCTGAGTGACTGTGAGGCCACTCACAGTCACCCAGGCTTCAGGGCCCTCTGTTCTTTACTCTGTTAAAAGTAAGCTTGATATTCATAGGTCTCTGCCTAGCATTCGGCAGGTGCAGCTATGGGGAGTGGGTGGGTGTGGGTGGTGGAGGATAGAAGAGGAAGGAACTTCATGAGTTAAGAATGGTCCCTCTCATGGGGCAAGAAATGTCGACAACATGGAGCTAGGGGAGGTCTAGACATGCCGGCAATGTCTTGTGTCCCTGAGCAATAGCCTGAGTGTAAAGGGGCTTTGTGAGGAGCATCAGACTTTGGCACATGATGTCCCATGGGCTAGGGGCCCCTTTCCCAAAGATTCTTCCAGAAGTGGCCCGATTTCAAACTCTTATCAAATGTGACCCTGGGGATGACCCTCACAGGGCGGGGAGAGCTGTCCCTCAGGTGCTTTCACCAAGCTCCCATTTCCTCAGTAAGACACAGACGGTAAGGACACCCAGCTGGCCAGGTTAAGTGGGGAGGGAATCAGGAAACAAATGATGCTTTTGTCACCTGGACTACATAATGTGGCAGGAGAGCATATGCCTGGCCCACTAGGTGTGTCAAGCCAACCCCAAATCACTCCTCTTCCAGAAGCCAAAGGATAAAACCCAGGGAAGATGCCCCAAGGCAAAGGGGGTGAGAACCACACTGTCGGCTCCAGCACATTCATCCTGCCAGGGAAGCAGCTGCCCCTCGAGTTGGTAGGGAGCCACAGGGTTCCTCTGCCCTCACAAGGGAAGTATATGAGAGGAATATACACTTCCTTTTTACAAGGAAACCTGAGAGGGGTCAAGACACAGGACCGAGGTCATGCAAGGAAAGCAGAACAGAGGAGCAGGGCCAACCTGTGCTGTCTCAGAGCCTGGTGGCCAGACTCAATCATCCAAACAGTGCCTGTCTGTCTGTCTGTTTTCGAGACACATGTATCGAACGTGAAGGAAAATGTCATTTTGTAAAGGTCAGAAGGAAAAGCTACCCTATTCCAAATTGTTCAAATGTATGCTATTGTTATTATGACGCCTACCAGATCACAGGGATGTCAAAGAATGCCAAGTTAAGAGCGTCCACCACCGCTTCCTAGAAACAGCGGTAAGGATAACGGAGGCATCGACTCAGTTCCAACTGTATGGATTCCCCAAGGGTAAGCACTGGGAATTGAAGACCTGAGGAGACAGCTAAGGTCCTGCTTGCAGCCGCAGGATAACGAACACCCGCGCTAAGCAGAAGGCAAGTCTTTGAGGAAAGGTAGTGAGAGAAAGGGAGACGCTGGCTACCGTCACTCAAGTGGGTTTATTCACAGCTACCAGGCCTGTTCCTAACCATGACCACAGAGGGAGGGAACCTACGTCACACAAACTGACTTCCTTACCATTCATCCCATCTCCAAGCTCGCACGAAAAGTGTGCCAGACAGTGGTCCAGCACTGCACAGGTTTGGAGGAACTGAACAGGAAATCCCCCCATCTTTTTTTTTTTTTTTCTGGAGCTGAGGCTCGAACCCAGGGCCTTGCGCTTGCTAGGCAAGTGCTCTACCACTGAGCTAAATCCCCAACCCGAAATCCCCCCATCTTAACACACGCTCACAGCCCTGCTTTCTCTTCTCTCAGGTACAATTGTTCCTTTAGCAAAGCCTTCCTCTGTCTGAACACTAGGTGGACAAGAAAAGATTCCACCTGTCACTCAATGGCAGACAGTTATCACACAGTGTATATTCCATCTGTAACACTCCATCTTTCCCAGAAAGATGTCCACAACCAAACATGGACAGGAGAAAAAACCCCGCGTGGGGCTGGAGCACGGGCTGGAGCCAGCTGCAGCCCACCTTAAAGCCTTAGTGCAGCCAAGGTGTGCAGATATATTTGTGGCTTAGGAACAGGGGTTTTCAAAGACCCAGAGAGGGGCACACAACAGACTATCTAGTCCCCACGGACAAAGCATCATCATTAAGTTGGTTGGGGCTTCTGAGAGGGCTCACAAGCTCTCCTCTCCTATCTGAGGAGTCGAAGTGTGCGTGTGTGTGTGTGTGTGGGGGGGGGGGGAGTAATCTCTTACATCCTCATTTCACAGAACCAAGAGGGAAGATGAGACTCTACAGCTAAACCCTGGCTGACACCGCCAGCACCGCTTCCCCGTCGAGTCTAGGGGGCTGCAGGGTCAAGCCAAAGGCAAATGGGCTCATAAAGAACTGTGGAAACCAACGTCATCCCTTACATGCCTCCCAGGCCAGGAAGCCTATCAGTTACAGAGACACAGCAGGGCTGAAATCTGTCACCTGTACCACGTGTACTACCCTAACCCATGGGCATCCAGGCAGCCAATACGGGGAGCCTGCAGACTGACTCCGACACCACCCGGGACTGTGACCCCAACCAAGCTGTTACTGTCACATAAGGGCCATGGTGCACATACAACACAGGGGGCCCAGAGGAGGTGGACATCGAAGAAAATACGTGAGAAAGCTTTAGACGAAGCTCAGTATTCAAGTTCAGGAGACACATACTAAACACGTCAGCACTAGCCTCTCTGGCGGGCCTTGCTGTCCAGCTCACAGTACAGGGCCCAGCACGAGGGCTGTCTGTGCAGAGACAGAGGTGGCCTTGGTCAGCACCCATCAACAGACCACCGAGCACTTGAAGAACTGTATCATGCTACCGCCTCCATACACCCAGAGTTACTACTAAGGGTTCCGTTTACTTCAAGGGCATCACAAGGTGCACAAGTCCGATGAAGAAATCCCCACTGTTCCACATCCCAAGGTCCAGGACCCACCCCCATATGTTATCCTGACATACTTCAGATATGTCAGTGAATTACATAGGACCTACAGGCCACTGATTCCAGGAACTAGAGGAAAGAACAACAGAGTCCCAACAAGACAGGTCCATGCAGGAGCTGCGTCTGACCTCAGACCTGGCATCACTGAGTGCGTCTCCCAAACAGCTATTCCTGAGATGAATACGCTCATATTCACACCTGGTGTTGCCATGGCCTGAACCCAAGGGGGTAGATGGAGCCATTCAGCAGGTGTTGATTTCTGCCTCTGTTTCTAAAGCCCAAACCCAAACCAGGGAGTGACTCTAGGGCCCTTTCTACCCAACCTGACCCTTTCCCCTGACTGCCTCCTCTCCTCCCTCCCCACACTCTCAGTTCTCACTGACATCTGCACGGGTAGGCAGTACCAGGTCTTTCAAGCCCATTGGCCCTCATAAGGCCAACCTGTCCCCATCAGCTAGCACAAAAGGACTTCGGACACAAGACACTCATCACATACTAAAGGAGACACCGAGTCACGGGAAGACAAGCTAAATCAATCACAGAACATCAGGACAGAACTCAGGGCTGACAAAGGGACTCCAGGACAGCTCCAGCTGAGGGAGAAGAGGCCGTGGACAGATTTGGCTGGATGACTCTGCAGCGTCACCCTGAAGGTGAGGAAGACCGGAGGGAGGGTGGGGACATGCCTTCCCTCTCCTACACAGCCAGAGCTGACACAACCCCTCCAGTGAACGTGGAAAAAAGATCCTGCAGGGCAGGAGACCCCCTGAAGTGGCTGGCCCTGCTTCCATCCCTTCCATCTTCAAAGTGCATTCTCAGTGCAAGGAGGAGGTCTGGATCCCAGGGGGCCTAACTGAGACAGGGCTGTGCCAGCCAGCTCCCTCCATCTCCTCCGGCTTCCCCCTTGCCCACCCTGACCCTTTTTACACTAAGACCAGAACTCCTGCTGGATCTCGTAAGGGGAAGGCCCATGTGTGTTCAGTTCAGCTCTGCACAGGGGCACCGTGCTATCCTGGCTCTGCCCCTCCGCATCCAGGTCCAGAAGCGTCCGCTCAGCGGGGGGCAGTGACCCTGCCTGTAAAGGGAGCAGGGCTGGGAGTCCAGGCCGTTCTTCCACAGTGCTGCTGCTGCTGGCAAAGCAGGAGTCCAGGTTGCTGGGAGTCTCTGTGCTGGAGCTGTTGGCTGGGGAGGCGCTGCGGGCATGGCTGGGGGACACAAACCACCACGGGTCCAGCCGCTGCCGGTTGGCGGAAGGACGCGGCCGAGGCAGAAACTCCAGGGTCTTGGGTCTCTCTAAGGTGGAGTCCCGCTGTGTGTTCCAGCGCCTCGGAGTTGGGGGGAAGACCACATTGGGATCAGGGAGACGGGGGAATTCACCTGGGTCGCGGCTGGGGCTGGGAGTCTTCAACAATCCTGGTCAGAGAGACAACGGGAAAGACATCAGACGATGGCGTCATGTTTCCGGGTGAGATATGCACCTTCCCCATGCTGCCACATGCCTAGGCACGTGGGCCAAAGGAACTAAATGTTTAAAGAGCACCTACTGTGGGTCATGCAGTGTGCTGCAAGGTGCTAGGGATATGGTCGTGAACTAGAAACCAAGTAGCCTTGGGTCAAATAGTAGTAACATATGGGGGTGGGGGAGGTCACATGGATAATGAACCAATTTAAGGCAAAGGTTGGGAAAGGACTTTTAAGATGGTCACTTGTGTTTGTAAGTAAAGTTTTATTGGGACATAATCCGGATACACTCCAAGGCTGCTTTCCATTTACAGTAGTATAGCTGAGTAGTTTAAAAAAAAAATTGTACAATCCACAAAACCCAAAATATTTACCATCTGGTCCTTTCCCAAAACAGTTTGGGGGCCCGTGGTTTAAGGGAATGCCTGTTGTTCCCTGTTCATCTATGTAATAATCATAGGACAGGAAAAGAGCTGGGTAGCAAAAAGCGTAAAGACGACTCATGCTGTCTTTATTCCCAAAGAGGTCACACACCCGAGTGTAACAAAGAGACCTGCAGGAGGAGGAGTCACACAAACTGGTGGGGCACAACTGTCCCACACACTTCAACCTCTCCAGAGGGGTGTGGCCACCTCTGCTTCTCTCACCGGGCTAGGGGATGTTTCTTAGGCAGACTCGGGGCTTTTAGGGAGCAAGGGGGCAAGGGCAGCAAAGCCCGAGGCTGAAAGCATGAATTCCCAGGAGTCTCTGGGGTCGGATGCAAGGCAGGCTCGTGCATGTGGACAGCCACCCGCCGGACACGTCTCCGGGTCTGAAGGGACAGGGGTGACTCAAGGAGGAGTGATGGCGAACATAATGGGTGAGTGGCAGCTGACCTTAGGTGTGTCTCTGAGCTCACGCCATAATGGCAGGGCCCGAGCATGCGGCAGAAAACACCCTTCCTAGGTGTGGTAAAGATTCCTTCCTTGTAGCTGCAGGATCTTTAGGAATAATAAGCTCGCCGCTGGGACCAACTGCCCTGCACCAGAGCAGGGTCTCAGCGTGCCACTGGGTCCATGCTGGCTCTTCCTGCAATCAGCCTGTCTCCTTTCACACTCTGGAGAAGATGCCCATGGTCCAGGGCAGAGAGACGTCAGTCAGCCAGCCCTGGACACCCTGCCAATCCAGATCATCTCTCTTGCGTGGTTGAGCAAGAAAAGAAATTCAAATTTCTTTGGGCTTATCCCAGTCCAGAAGCAGAAAGAGGAAAGGAGCCACCTACAAACATCTTTACTCCCTTGGGGCCACAAAAGAAGCAAAGAGAAAAGTGGAAGTGGCCCGAACTCACCTGTCCCAGGACTGGGACTCATTCCATTGCTGGAGGGACTCCGGCTTGCGAGCGCTGGCGGGGCTCCTGCTGGCTTAAGAGCCCCATCAGAAGGAGTCCGCCTGTGACCACTCGGCTGCGTGGGGGCTGTGAGGGTGACATGGGTGGGCGTCAGGGACTGGTTGGGGTCTCGCTTGAAGCGCTCCACTCGGACATTAACAAGAGGGTTGTGGGCGCACGAGGTGAGAGGCGGAGCTTCCACTGGACTGACTGGCATTTCATACACTACGATCTCATCACTGTCAGAGCGCAGCAGGGAGCGGGTAGAGTTGCATTCGGAGATGGAGGAGAGAGAGAGCAGTGTCAAGGAGGCAGAGTGGTCTCCTAGCAACATCATTGGCTCCTCCTTCTTGAAGAGCTTTCGGGAGGGGGGGCTGGTACTCCGACGAGGGCGGCTGGCCCTTTGGAATAGACCCTCACGTCTCTTCTTCTCTTCCCGGGCTGGTGGCTCAGGCTCCTCTGGTGGAAGCAACTGGCACTTGCCAGCTTCCAGCAAGTCAAACCCTAGGCCTGTGGCTGCCAGAACAGCTCCACAGCCAAGCAGAGCCACCTCACAGCGCCGGTGGTGGGTCCCACTACGCTTGAGGCTGTTGGTTGGCGTCAGCTGAGGGGTACTGGTGGCTGAGTTGACTGGGGTGGGCTCCTCATGAACTCCATCACTAGAGGGGCCGTCCTCATCCTCTCCACGAGGAAATGGGATACAGAGGTAGGACTGGTTGGGCGAATGCTGTAGATGACTCTCTCCACTCCCTGGGCCTTCCCCATCTTCATCCTCTGTGAAAACCAGATAAATGGCAGAGAAATACAGAATGAAGAGTCCAGTCCTTCTCCCAGCCTGACTCTGTGTCAGAGATACAGGACATGAAATTGGGCATTGAGCCGATGGGTCCTGGTCAATTCTGCCACACTCAACTGAGACCAACATGGGAAACTTATCTGCATCCCAGAGCCCATTTCTCTACTTACAGAAAAGGGGATCTGCTAATTTGCTGCCTCCTTCATAGGGACTCCTTTGAGTGTGTGTATAATGCCACAGACCACCTTACTCATGCTCGGCAAGTACATTGCCATGGAGCTATACCTTTAGCCTCATAGGTACTCTTACAAGAACATGCAGTATGCATTCCTAGAACACCAGATAAAAGAAACATTTCGAATATTTTTTGTCCTTAAAACTAAAAGAGCTTTGGATTTCTAGCACTATGCTGAGCAACATGTCTTAAAGTTGGTCTGCACAAGAAATGAGAATCCTCTACATGGGTGAAGAGCAATCTGTTCCACTGATGGTCCTATTCTGACTTGGAAATCTACAGAGAAAAGAATACTGGGGGAGCTTCCAGAGAACTCAGCCACCATTCACAGCCAGAGAGTAACACTGGAAAGGCTTGGGAAGGGGAAAGGTCTGCTTCAAGTCCTCATCCTTGCTCACTGCCCTGGGGAGATGATTGCTGGACTCTTGGGGCAGGAAGCCAAAGATAGATTCCTTGGCTATAATACAAGGAAAGTATGGTTTACAATAAAATGGAAGGGACAGAGGAGAGGATCAGAGGTAAGGAACAAAACTGAGACAAACCCTACGGATAATACTAGGAATCCTTAAACAATCCCGGAAGTCTGGTCAAGAATCCTCTAAGGAAACAGGGAGGAAACCAAGACAAAAGCTATACTTACCTATCTCCATAAGGCTGGTGAACCCAGGCAGGGCGGGGCTACTCCTCGGACCCTTCCCCAGGTTGGGGGCACTGGATGACCACTGTTTGTATCCGTCTACCAGGGACTTGAGGCTGAAGAATGAGGAGAAGACTTGTCAGCACTGGCGCCTTCTCTTACTCTAGCCTCCACGGGCGTTCGGCAAACGTCTGTCCACTTAATCACACTGAAAAGCCATGGGGACCAGACAACTCGTCCCGAACCCACCTACTTCACAGACAAGTGCACATGCTCCAGGAGATGCAAAGCGGTGGTCTAACCCAGCCCCTCACATGCTGTGGAACCATGGAAAGATCGAGTGAGCAGGCGGGCAAAGCGGACAGAGTAAGGACCGAGCTTGTGGAAGGTCTCGTCTGAGCCCTTAAGGGAGAGGCAATCAACCCACAGGATCTGGACACAGTACACTCATTACGTTACAAGTACTTCAGTGCAAACACCTGCAGTGCAAAGCAAGCATGGAGCAGATGAACCCGCAGAAATGGCCCGGCCCACTCCACTCATGTTTCTCAGGTTCTCCTTCCACGCTTCTATCTCGCATGCTTAAGCTTCCAAAGCCATTCACTCTTCAAAAGGAAAAAAAAAAAAAATCAAGCAACAAAGCTGCACCAACCCAGTGCACTTGGGACAGACATATATGGGGAAGACACTATGTGGGACTCAAGCCCTCCGTTCATCTGGGCATGGAGACAAAGGATGGCCGCTTGATTTCAAACCCTGCCATCAGCTCACTGGGAAGTCTGGCAATTCTCCAGAGATAGGACGGATCCCCCATCGGCTCCCTTACAAAGGGGGATCTGAGGTCTGCAAGCACTGGTCTTTGCCCTAGAGGGCAATAAAAGGGAGCATCGAGGCACCGGCACGTTAGGGTGGCATTGAAAGCCTAGCATATCAATCCAAGGGGACTCTCTCTACCTGTTCACCGAAAGCCTGTTCTCTCAGAGCCCCAAGGCACCAGAGGGAGGGAGAAGGCTCACTTTTCTCCCTGGCCTCAGAACTCTGCTTCAAGCACTGCCAGGACACTGGTGACTTAAGACACATCCCAGACTCTGCTGGTTTCAAACAGAACACCGAGTTGGAGAGAAGCAAGCTGCTAAACCCACAGCCCGGGACGCCCGACGGCAATGTTCTCACATTTCCTCTAGTACGGGGCCCAAGGAAGCCCAGATTAGCAAATAAAAAAAAAATAGCCAGTGCTCAATGATATATAGCCAAGTGGCCTTCTCTAGAAACAGTATGCAAGGAGCATCCCATCAACTGGGGTGGGTAAACAGAGGGATTTTCCCAAGGTGCACTGGGGAAAAACGCAATCAGCTCATCCCTTGCAGTGATGAGGAATGAGAACAGGGAAATGGCAGGGCAGTTGCTACCAATACAGCTTACGGATGGGTGGAGAGCAGACTCACCCCAAGTGGAAATGTGGAGACTCTGACGGGGTACTTAAGCCATTAGTTTTTTCCCGTCTCTGGGGGGAACTTCAATGAATAAAGAGGATCAGCAAGAGGCAGTGGAGACCACCGTCAGCTCACCCTCCCCCACACTCAGACTGCTCAGGCTAGACCAGTCAGGTGGCTTCTCCAATCAGCAAACCCACCCCAGGAAAAGACTGGATAGTCAGAGGGCAAATGTAAGGGGCTGTGAATTTAAAAAAAATTTTTAATTACCAGAATCCATAGCTAGCCTGGTTAACCTCAGAAAACACCCAAGCTGCCTACAGTGAACTATTGTTTCCTACAGACATGTACTGTGGGATAAAAAGGGGAGATGGGAATTCATTTTGCTGAATTCAAGGTTTTTCTCATTATAAATTTTCCTCAGTCAACAGACACTAAAATTAGAAATACGATCATGGAGAGATCGCTAACATTTCTGATATCAAAGAGATCTGGACTCAAGTTTGTTAGAATACACTTTCATTTCTTCAATAAGAATTGAGAATAATGAAAAAAATCAAGGCACGTGCTTCTTAATTGCCTCAAAAGTCTGCAAGGACAAATCTATGTAAGGAGAAAGAAAAGTGCAAAGTTAGCATTTTGTAGTGTAAAAAGAAGGTTAATTCACTATTAAGACCAAAAAAAAAAAAAAAACCCAACAACAAAATCAATAAAAACAACAACAACAACAAAAAAAAAACCCCAAAAACTTTAAGTGCAGCAGAACCAGCAAAGTCACTAGAATCCTATCTGAGGAGAGAAAGGGACCTGCAAGAAAGGGTCAGAGGGGAAGGTGGCGAGGGTGTAAGAAAAACTGTAATGATCCACATGAATGACAATTCTACAATGAGACACATTGCTTTGCATGTTCACTGAAAAGTTAGCTGAGAATTTTTAATTACCAGAATCCATAGCTAGCCTGGTTAACCTCAGAATTATACTAATGTCCGAAAGAGCAAATGATTTGGGGTGACTGAGTTTCTCCAAGCCAGGTCACGAAGGACAGACAGACAACAAGGCTCTCATCCCTCCTCTGCTCTCCTGAGTGCTGTAGACTTGCTGACCTGCCCTCCAAGGCCTTAAGCTCTGCATTCACACACAGCACAGGCAGCTTGTCCTCCAAGTGTACATTTTCTATTCAAAGGAGCTTTGTGGTTTCAAAGCCTTACTTGACAGGGCTGGTTCTTTAGAAATCAAATTGCTATTTTTTTCCCCCTTGAGCTTAGACACAGGAAGAGTTTGAATGTGAAATGCTAGTATTCAAAAGATTACCAAAGCCAGTTGACAGGTTTGGAGGCCCCGTTCAGTGACTAATGGGAAGTCACTGAAAACTGATAGGACTACAATCCTCACACTTAGACTAGCCAGGGGTATTCTAGAAGAAATACAAACCATGATGGCCACACTTCGGGTATTAAGTAGATGGCATGAAAGGCAGAGAATCATCATCCCAGATGATAACTATGTATGTTCACCATGAGCCAGCTAATTGATGCACCTCACAAAGAACCCTTATATCCACTCCACAAGCTGGGGACTAGTCTTAGGCCCTTTCTGTGGGTGAGAAAACATGAACTCCCACAGTTAGATGTGGAGCTGAGTCTCATGGCCAGAAGTCTTCCTGGCCTGTGAAAAACTGACACAGAGAATTTGCCTCCCAGGCCTTGAGCCTACAAGTGAGGACACAGCACAATTAAGGCAACAAGACCCTTTGCCTGGAAGGGCACTAACATATGTGGTTAGGGGCCCCACAGTATAGTCTAGGGCACTATCAGGGCCGAGTTATGGTGGCTGCCTCCGTCTGACAGGTTAACAAGAGAAAGTCCTGCAAACCCTGCTTTTCCTCCCTTTCCTCTGTTTCATAGGAAAGACTCAGGTTGAAGTAGGCCACTGAGCCCAACTTCCTACATTTCCATCCTATCTGGGCTATTTGCTGCTTTGAGATCACCTGTAGGGGGCAGCAGACCAGCGGACTGAATCCATTCCTGCCTGCCAGCTGTCTTCATAAGGTCTGACTGGAAGATAGCTACGTGTACTCACTCATGTATGTACTACTCAAAGTCCAGGGCAGCTTTCATATGTCTCTGTCACCACGCGGACCCAGAAGTCTAAAACGTCATCTGGTCTTTTGTGGAAAGAGTTTGGCAATTCCTGCCCTACAAGAGCTAGGAGACTGGAAAACCCTAGAAAGGTCAGGAAGAGCTTCATGCACATTTGTAATTCCAACACTCAGGAAGTGGAGGCAGGAGGATGGAGAACTTGAGGACAGCTTGGGCTAGTCTATCTTAAAAAAATAAATAAATAAATAAAACAAAACCTGTATACTTTCCCAGAAAGCATTAAAATACACACGAGAGAAACATAGTGTTTCCTATTGTATCTTAAAACGCTGTGCCCGTCTTTAAGTGAGAGAGAATTGCACATCAGCTGGCTCTCACCCTTCATCTCCTGAGGTGAGCTCTTTCTGCCCAAGTGTTCCTGGTCCCCACGTCCGGCCCTTCTTCTTTGGGAGCCTCTTCTCCTCCTCCTCCCCTTCCTCTTTAGGGACCACTGAGCTCCGGCCCCAGGTTTTACTGCTTTCACCTGGCGTCACTGTGAACAACAAGGGTTGAGTAAGAGAAGTCCCTCCAAAAGTGACAGACAGACCACACGCACTTACTTTCAAGGAAGTTCGATAGTGAAAATAAAGCCAGTCTGGGTGTGGCACATGCTAAAGCTTTGACAGTATTTCTGAGGACCTAGGCTTTGGACAGCCTCAGCTTGGGAAGGACAGATTGAAAAAGGACAGTGATGCCCAACAGGGCGGACAGTATGGAGGTCCTCGAGGTGGGCACCAATCTGTATCTGCATCATTCCAGTTTCCAAACTGCTTTGCGGCAATTCACTAAAGCGCTTCCTCTACCCACAAGCCCCTGGGCTGCCATCCGACGGCCGGAAGTGGAGCCAGCACTGAACTTAACAAGGGACAAGGGGCAGGAGGGCTGAGGGTCAGCAAATGGACACGCGTGTGTGGACACACTGCTGAGGGAGGTGGCAGCAGCTATGGCTGGAACAAGCCTGAATTAATCAGGGGCCGAGCAGGCCAGGGGAAAAGCTGTCTCACACTGGATGGCTCGAAGGCGAGGGATGATGGTGGGGCTTGCCGGGGGGCTCGATCGGCTGCTGATGAGACTCTTCCTTTTATCCATGGTCGGGGAGGCCTGCACTGTGAACTTGTGCTGGAAATCTGCTTGGGGAGAGACAAATGTGTGTGTTAGGATCATCACACAGCCAAATTCATTCAAGAAACCCGATGTCTCCTGGCAGGCAGGCCTGAGGGATAGGCCTCGGTTTCCCGAAAAGCTTTGTTTATCCGGGAAATGTTCTCTTCCAGAGCCATCTCTTTTTCCCCAAAGGGACGCGTGCCAAGATGAACACACCACAGATGGCAGTCTTCATAAAGCTCCCTATTTAAAGGATATAGGTGGAGCGATTACAAAGGAGAGCTGCTTTTCAGTGCTTGTCACCTTGTGGATTACTCCAGCAAATGGCACTGGAAATTATGCTTCAGATGACCTGTCACCATCCGTGTCCTTTTTAGGTACCAAACAGGAAGCATTTGATGCTGCTTCCAAAGTGCAGGCAGAGCAGGGTATTAAGAACCAGCCCATGGTGGGAATGCAGGGATTCAACGGAAATGGGGAAATGACCCTAATCCTCGCACACCTCAAAGGTAGTTTCGATTTAGCGTGAAGAACATGAAACTTTAGCTCTGAAGTTCTGAGTTTCGGCCTCCTCATCCACCAGAGAGGCACTGGGGTCTGCCCACTAGACTAAACTCTCCCTGCAGATGGGAACAACAGCTTCCTATCTGCATTACTAGTGCACAGCAGATTCCTAGCACAGCCTAGATGCTCCAGAGGTACCGAAATACTTGCAAAAACAAAACAAAACTACAACAACAACAACCCATGTGTGACAATGACAGTAGTGTACACTCCCATGAGCCTAGTGTACGTTCCCATGAGCACAGTCTCTCAATTCAATGACTTAATTCCTTTGTCTGTGCTCCAGCCATCATCCCAAAGCTTAAACATCACCCATAGCCCCTCTGACGCCATGTTTCTTTGCTTCCTTACACGTCTAAGAAACTTGCTACCCAAGGCCTTATAGATTTAGAACACAAAGAACTTATTTAATCTATAGAAATACTCACCTGTCCCCTTGGGCACATTACACACCACCAAGATTCTAATTCACAGTTCCTTATTTCTTTGCATATCCCCCCCGCCGTCCCCACCCCCCATAACAGTACTGAAAATGTACCTTTATGGAGCCAATGTAGTTCTGACTAGCTATATATCAATCTTATAATATGAATTTTTACATATTAGCCTAATGTTAAGTGCACCGAGGGCTAATTATTAAGACACTTGAGACTAACGACTTGGCAGGGTTAAGATTTCTCATATGTGAACACCCCAGAATCCCCTCACCCTGATGATACCCATTCTTCTCCAGCTTTTGCCTCCAGTTGAAGTGTGCTCTATAGACTGCCATGCTTTGAGCAGCTTGGGCCACTTAGTGGGTTTATCATCACTGTATACTCTGCAGTCACTCACAAGGAACAGTTCCCCAGAAAGCCTGACATCCACTGAGCAAGACAGCCCACTCCAACAGGCTTTGAGAGCCATGGTCTACATTTCCAAGCACAGCCTAACTCCCACAAACCCCACCCCACCAGCCCCCCCATCCCACCCCACCCCCAACCCCACTCTCTTTCGGCCACCTACCGGAGGGGAGGCTGATGCGGTTGCCATCCTTGAGCTTCAGTCGGCTCTTCCTGAACTTGCCCTTGCGTTTCTTCACCCTGGGCTTTTCCTGGCACAGCTGGTGGATGATGATGTTGAGCTCTCGTTCGAGGATGTCAATCTCCCGCTCAGCCAGTTCCTGTTCCCTGCGTCGCAGCAGCTCCTCCTGGTTCTTCTGCTGGAGCGCAGCCCGCGTCAGCTCCTCTTCCCAGGTGCGGAGCTCCTATAGACAGGGGGAGGCAGCAGAGAGAAGAGTGGGCCTCAGTACAGAACGCCTCATGAGACAACCTAGAGAGCTCTCCCATGGTGCCTGGGAGAGAGGATGCCCAACAGTTGGGCTGGAAAGTGAACACATGCAAGCCCCGAGTGAAAGGAAAGTACAACACAGCCATACTGTGATTACAGCTAGAGAGGTTAAAGCCATGGAACAAGCCTGGAGACAGGGGCTGATCCTTCCTCCAACAGTAGTGACTCCTTATCCTCAGGGAGCATGTCCAAGACCACAGGGAATGTTTGAAACCACAGATTCTTCTGAACTCTGCATGCACTGTGTGTCTTCCTCTAAAATACCTCCATCATAAAATTTAACCTTTAAATTAGGCACCCTAAGAGATTAACAACCAATAATAGAGGATAATGATAACAATATATTATACTAAAATCACCAGCATTACTACTCTCGTCCTTTGGAACCATTATTAAATAAAATCAGGGTTTTCTGAACACAGACTTGCCATATCACAATAGCCGACAAGAAACCCAAGATCAATATAATATCTAGTTGGGATAGTGTGCACAGTGTCAGAAGGATGACTGTCCCCAGGAAGGGGCAGAGCAAGACTAGATCATGATGTTTAGAATAGCATGCAAATGGCCAGGCGGTGGTGGCGCACGCCTTTAATCCCAGCACTCGGGAGGCAGAGGCAGGCAGATCTCTGTGAGTTTGAGGCCAGCCTGGGCTACAGAGTGAGTTCCAGGAAAGGCTATACAGAGAAACCCTGTCTTGAAAAACAAAACAAACAAACAAACAAAGCAAAACAAAACAAAAAAGAATAGCATGCAATTTAAAACATAAAACTGTTTACTTCTGGAATGTTCCATTTAATAGTTTTGGGACAGTGGTTGACAGCGGTTAAATCAAGCCACAAAAAGCAAAGCCATGGATGGGAATGGGTTGGGGAGGATGACTGTAAACTACTTATTGACAAGATCCAATTTTAATTTTTCCTACTGGCTTGTGTAATTTATAAATTATGATTTTATCAATCCAAAACAAAGGTGGCCATGAGTCGGTGATTTAGCAGTCTTAACAAAAGCCAGCCCCCTGTGAAGGTTCTCCTAGCTGGGATGAGTAGTAGTGATAGGAACGCCATCAATGGCTCACCCAGAGGGACCCCTAAAGATTCGCCATTAGCTCCCTCCAGCCACTACTGCACGTGAATGACCCGCCAAGCTAAGCTGTACTGCACTTGGGATCACTATGCTGCTGTGAAGGAGCCTAATCTCTTTGATTCAGATCCAGAAGTTATTTTAAAATCATTTGTGTCGGGGTATAACAATGGTTTTGCAAAGAACACAGGGCTTAGAGTCAGATGGCCCAGGTTCAAGGACCTACTTCCTCACTTACTAGCTCCACGAAGGTGGAAGCCACTGGCCCTCAGGTGTGAGATGGAAACAATCACACCTGCTCCACATACTACCATACTAGCAGGACAAAGAGGTCTCGTGAAACTTTTCAAGTGAAAACAAAGTGAGAAACAAAATTAGATTATTATCACATTTCTATTTATTTATTCATTTAATCTCCGAGACAGAGTTTACTCTATAGCCCAGGCTTGAAATCACTTTATAACCCTGGCTGGTCTAAAACTTATGATGTACTCCAGTTTGGTCTCAAACTTACAACCCTCCTTCCTCAGCCTCCTGAGGGCTGAGATTCCAGGCATGTGCCAACATGCTTGGCTATCACACAACTATTAACTCCCCCGTAGTTCTACAGCACAGAATGAGAGGAAAAAGGAAGTTAGCCAAGACTGAGAACAGACCTCTGGATTTAGCCCTACCCAGACGGCACAGGGCAAACAATTGCACAAAATCAGTTTCACCCGTGTGGACACTGACTGCTAGGATCAGACCACAGAAAAAACATAAGGGCCACTGGAGGAACGGCCACCAAACCCAGAATCAGACTCCAGCAAGCCAAGAGGTGCCAAATGCCTATCCTGTTTCTGACTGACTCCAAAAGACCACACAAGATGCTCTGCTGGCGACTCTCAGGGCTGACGGACCCCTTCATGGAACGGCCCTCCCTCTCGAAGGGCCCTGTGGAACCTGGACACCCTTCCAGAACTGTCCATTTTAAGGTAGCAGGAGGAAACACTTGCTGGCAGCTGTCCACAGCTGCTCCTGTGCTGTGGACAGTCAAGCAGACTCCAAGGAGGAAGGCACTGACATCAGTGGCCGGGCGCACTGAGTCCAGAACCCCAGTGAAGCAGTTCTGCTAAGACAAGGCATGCCTTTCCCTCTTCTCTACCTTTTCTTTGGCCCTGAGTTGGTCAAACATTTCCTGAATCTCATGTTTCCAGTCATCCTGCAGGCAGTGGAAGGAGTCCTTGGGCATCTCAAAGAAACCAGACTCTTGTATGGTCGTGAGCTGGTCCAGGATACTCGTGAAAGATGGCCGTGAGTGGGGGTCGGGGTTCCAGCAGTCTGAATGGAAGAGGGGAAAGTGGAAGTCAGTTGCGCTGTCCTGTACGCTCTTGCTGAGCCAGTGCAAGGGAAGCGAGAACCAAGCTTCTGGGGCCCGACACTGCTGCCAGCTAACCGCTCACAAGTGCACCAGGGGTGACTATGCCCCCACTTTCCCCACACACACAAGCTACCGTGCCCGAGAAAAGCATCAGGGTGAGTCAGAAGAGTGCACTCTACCCAGTTGCTCCTGGCCACCAACACAGTAGGCCCCTTCCCTCCTCACTTGGCTTAGCTTCGCATGTCTCACAAATTCTGTTTCCAACTCAGTGATTTGAGAGTCCCTTTCTTCCCTGATGACCTTCAGTTCTACACACAAGATACTCAGGTCTGGGAACAAATGCCACTGTAGCTTATTTTGTATTACACAATGAGACACTGGAATGCAAGACAGCAGGTTTTAGTTACTAATTGCTATAGTCACTGCAGAAAGGAACCTGCTTTGGCAGGGTGTGGCCACTGTCTAGAAACAGCTCTCCCTCCCGACTCTTGCCCTGGGTGGCTAATACTCCATCTCCTCTTTCTGCAGCAGACCTCATGACATGAGGAAATGTCATCTGAGTGCTGTGTAAAGGTACACAGCCACCAGCTCTCCTCGGGCCAGGAGTTCCTTACCTTCCATGAGTTTGGCAAAAGGTTCTGGACATGTAGAAGGAATAGGAAGGGCGAGCTTGTTCATGGCCACTCCGTAAGCCACTGCTAAGCCATCAATGCCTCGGAAGGGGACCTCACCAGTCAGCAGCTCCCAAAGCAGCACTCCATAGCTGGGGAGAGGAACAAGGTAGAAACTATATAAGAAACAACAGCTACTACCTCGTCAAAACAGCTACCAAGGTTTATCCCACATCACCCTCAACCCGCAGAAGACTAATGGAATAGACACACTAACATAAAGGGAAGCCACAAAGCCTACTAGCGAAAAGCAGAGACTCTGGAGCGAGGTACACATCTGGTTTAAAGTGTTGGCCCATCATTCCCTACCCACAAATCCATGGGCAAATCACTCCATTGCTCTGAGCCTGTAATATCTCCTCTGGAGAGAGCAAATAACACTATATTAGACTCACAAGTTGCCAGAAAATCAAATGAGTCTTTAAGAGCTTAAATAAGTACTCAATGGCTACAGCAGTTTTATTGTTTTAGAACAAGGTCTTACTATGTAGCTTAGCCTTGGCCTGGAACTCTTAATCCTCCTGTCTCAGCCTCCTGAGGGCTAGGATTACAGGCGTGCACCACCATGATGGATTCTGTTAGTGTTAATGAAATATGCCTGTAGAAGAGACTCTCTCTCCAAACAGAATCTTGCTATTTTTAAGACAACTTTTGTCACAGATACGTTTTTGTTTTTTTTTTTTTTTTTTAGAAAACCAATGAGCACTTATTTAACATGGATTTTGTTCCTGCAAAAGATTTCTTTAAATGTCTTCTAGGTTAATACACATTTCTGACTCCAGATTGGTACAAACAGGACCTTCACAGAAGCCTCTGTCTAGCTCTGTGAGTAAAGTTCCACAGGGTAGACTGTGTCAGCAGGGTAGAGCGGCACACTAGCTGTGAGAACTCAGTGTCTCCCAACCTAGTAAGTCCACAGAAACATGTCTTTATCGCCTATGAATCAGGAAATGTGGAGCACAAAGCATAATGGAAGAATTAGTCTATAGAGCCACAATCAAAACCACGCAAAACTACACAGCATTCCGTCCTTCCAAGAATAAGTTAGGACAGGAAAACATAAGTCTGTGAGTACTCAAAAAGCAGGCTCTACTTGTACCTGCCACACCGACCTCAAATTTATTGTAACGCTCCTCAGTAGTGTGCAGCTGCAACAAAGGCTGTACTAATTAAATGAGGATGATGATGATGGATCTGGAGGGGTTTCTCGGTGGTTAAGAGCACTTGCTACTCTTGAATAGAACCCAGAATCAGTTCCAGCACCCACATGGTGGCTAATAACCATCTGTAACTCCAGTTCCAAGGGATCCGACACCCCCTTCCCATCTCCATGGGCACTGGGCATGCACGTAGTACACACATATAAATACATGCAAAACGGGGCTGGGGAGATGGTTCAGTGGTTAAGCACACTGGCTGTTCTTGCAAAGGATCCTGGTTCGATTCCCAGCACCCACATGTCAGCTCATCACCATCTGTAACTCCAGTTCCAGGGTATCTAGCACCATCTTCTGGGTAATGTGCACCCCCACCCCCCATAATAAGGTAACTCTTTAAAAAATAAATAAATACATACATACATGCAAAACACTCACACATATAAAATAAAATAAATCAATCTAATTTAAAAATTTTTGTAGCCCGGCGGTGGTGGCGCACGCCTTTAATCCCAGCACTCGGGAGGCAGAGGCAGGCGGATCTCTGTGAGTTCGATGCCAGCCTGGTCTACAAAGTGAGTTCCAGAAAGGGCGCAAAACTACACAGAGAAACCCTGTCTCGAAAAACCAAAAAAAAAAAAAAAAAAAAATTTTTTTGTAAAGGCAAAATGATGATGATGATAATCAGCAACCCTATATGTATCAGGATACCTTGCTTTTTTAAAGGGCCTTGCTATGTAGCCCAGGCTGCTTCAAACTTCCTATCCTGCTCCAGTCTTCTGAGTGCTAGGATTACAGGTGTGCACCCAAACACTAGACTCTTGTTTTCCTTCATATTTTCATGCAATGCTGGAGACTGAGCCTACAGTTTTGCACATGCTAGGCAAGCACTCTGACACTGTGCCCCTCTGCCAAACCTATCATACTTCGTTTTTAGTTTGTTTATTTTTTGCTTGTTTGTTTTCTCTGTGTAGCCCTGGATTTTCCTGGAACTCATTCTGTAGACCAGGCGGGCCTCGAACTCAGAGATCTGCCTGCCTCTGCCTCCTGGAGCGCCGGGACTAAAGGCATGTGCCACCATGCCTGGCACCTTTCCTGATACCCTGCATGTACAGGGAGTATGGCATTTTACAACATCATTCTGAATCCTTGCAAGGATATAGGCAAGTATGAGCACTACTTGGCAATCGAAGAAAGTGAAATCTTAGATGGGTTTAGTGGTATATATAGATGCCCAGCTCCAGACACTGGAAAGCAGGGTAAAAGACATAGGTCTTCCACAGAGAAATTAGTGAGAGGTACAGAAAAAACAAAATGAGGACAGGATACAGAGGTAAGCCACAACAGACTTACCAGGGCACAAAGAGGAAACCCTAAACCAGACCGGAGTGGGAAAAGCAAATAACCTTTAGCAGGGAGAGAGGGAATGAGGGAGGAATGGGAGGACAGGGTGGAAATAAAGAAAAACTATACTTCTGCCAAACCTTGACTGTGACTTACCCAGACAGTAGTCACACTCGGAAGCTTTTACCAAGCAAAGATGATTAGTGTCTGGGCCCTAAGTACAGAGTGTTTCAAAGACCTAAATATGCCCGGTTTGTGTCCTGGCATCCCTTCTCTGGTGGTTTCCCACTAGGCCCCTCTAGGTAGCCAATGAAGAAGTCTCAGGCCACCTGTAAGAGGGAGGAGTCAGGGCTCGACCCCCTGCAGCATCCGTGAGGGAGGCTCTACCTTGCTGGGCTGTTGGTTGTCTGTGATCTGCTCTACCTAGAGGCATGAGAGTTGAGGAGAGGGAGGATGAGGACGGAGACCCGAGCATGGCACACAGTAAAAACTAAATACGTGGCACTTGCAGGAGTAAAAGAATCACAAGTCAGTTTAGAATCAGCTTTCTACAAGTTCCTAGACGTGTGTCCACCCTTGCAGGGAGCCCTGTTGGAGCTGAGCCACGGTGAGCAATTTTATTATTAAAAAAAATTTACTTAATTTTTTTAATTATGGGGGAAGGAAATGTGTACTTGTGAGTACAGGTGTCTCCAGAGTCCAGGAGAGTATTGGATCCTCTCCAGTTAGTTACTGGCAGTTTTTAAGTTGCCCAACGTGGATGCTGCAAACTAAGCTTGGATCCTCTGCAAGAGCAGTATGCACTCTTTGTTGTTGTTGTTGTTAGTTTTTCAAGACAAGGTTTCTCTGCATAGCCTTGGTTGTCCTGGAACTCGCTCTGTAGACTAGGCTGGCCTCAAACTCACAGAGCTCTGCCTGCCTCTGCCTCCCAAGTAAATGCTGGGACTAAAGGCATGCGCCACCACCACCTGGCCAGTATGCACTCTTAACCACTGAACCATTTCTCCAGCCTCCCTGAGGACAATCTAAGCTACAGAGTCATTGGTTGTGCTGTCTAATTTTATGTCAACTCGACACAAGCTAGAGTCATCAGAGAGGAGGGGGCCTCAATTGAGAAAATGCCTCCATAAGATCAGGCAAGCCTATAGGGCATTTCTTAATTAGTGATTGATGGGGGAGGGCCCAGCCCATTGTGGGTGGTGCCACCCCTCGGCGGGTGGTCCTGGGTTCTAAAGAAAGCAGGCTGAGCAAGCCATGAAGAGCAAGCCAGTAAACACCACTCCTCCATGGCCTCTGCTTCAGCTCCTGCCTTTATGTTCCTGCTCTGCTTGAGTTCCTGTCCTGACTTCCTTCCACGATAAACATTGATGTGGAAGCATACGCTGAATACACCCTCTCATCTCCAAGTTGCTTTCTGTTTCATCCCAGCAACAGAAACCCCAACTAAGATACTGGCAGACCACGTGACAATATTTAAGGTATTTTCCCGGAAGATGTTACCCAATGGTCTGAAGCTCACCACTCCGCCTGTCCTGTTAGGATGGCTCCCATTACAGCTTCTTCAACTGGCTTTCACCAGCAGTGATTTTAGGGACAAGACCCAAATCTCAGACTTGTTAACAGGGTATTTGGGTAAAAGCTGAAAGAGTCTTCCCCCATGGAAGACAAACAAGCCCCTCAGTAGCCCTGTCCTTTCCTGACTGACACTTCTGTCACTATAAGACCCTAAACCAGGTGCTCACACTCCCATCCTGCCAAGAACAGGCATGGAACCTGGTGAGTCTGTCCATATCACAGCAGCAGCAGCAGCAGCAGCAGCAGCAGCAGCAGCAGCAACTGAGTAAAGAACAAAACCTGAGAGAAGCGAGACAGGAGAATATGCACATTATCCTGTAAGGAGAGCTGCTGTGGGATGGTCTGTATGTCAAATGTGTTGCTGATTGGTCAATAAATAAATCACTGATTGGCCCGTGGCCAGGCAGGAAGTATAGGCGGGACTAACAGAGAGGAGAATTGAGAGAACAGGAAGCTGGGTGAGGGAGACACTGCCAGCCGCCATCAGGACAAGGAAGATGTAAAGTACCGGTAAGCCACAAGCCACGTGGCAAGGTATAGATTAATAGAAATGGATTAATTTAAGCTGTAAGAACAGTTAGCAAGAAGCCTGCCATGGCCATACAGTTTGTAAGCAATGTAAGTCTCTGTGTTTACTTGGTTGGGTCTGAGCGGCTGTGGGACTGGTTGGTGAGAGAGATTTGTCCTGACTGTGGGCCAGGCAGGAAAACTCTAGCTACAAATGGCGTCCAACGTGGTGGCAAGAGTTTCCACCTAAAACCTGAGAAAAAAGATTCTAAAACGGAGCTAAAAACACCTCCTAGTTGTCTCTTTTAAGCTAGCAGCAGCCTGCATGTTTGAGCTACTATGGCGGGTTCCTGGCATGCATGCTCGACCTGCAGTATGGCGGGAATGAGGCCTCTGCAAGTGGCACATTAAGCTGTGTGGTGGATTTAGCCTTTGCTAGTACAAAAAAAAAAAAAAAAAAGAGGTTTCTGGGCTACACACTTCTTGATAGAAGCATAGACCCACTATTT